TGATCCCCTACACACACACACACACACACACACAGGTCTTTGATCCCCTACACACACACACACACACACACACAGGTCTTTGATCCCCTACACACCCACACACCCCGGACAGCCTCACCTTCTACATCTTTGGCTTAAACTTTGACCTGCAGGCTGATGTCTTCCCCATCCATCTTTGGAGACCCAGACTCCTGTCTGTGCCCCCCGGCCGTACCCCGGGACCCGCCAGCTCCCACTGAGCTCAGCGTCGTTCCCTAACCCCACTCGTATGCCCACGTTCTCCCCTCTCATCATGGCTCCATCACCCCCACCCCAGTGGCAGGCAGACAGACCCCCAGGTGCCATCCTAGCTCCCTCCCTCTCCCTTCCACCATCAGTGCCCCCCTGCCCCATCCTTCCTGTCCGCTGATCGCTTGCACTGTTCCCACCCCTCAGTCCCCACAGCCCCTGCCCCAGCTCAGGTTTCATCCTTTACCCTGAACCTTCACCCTGCTCCTCCCCTGCTCACAGCCCCCTATGGCTCCCCAGCGCCTTAGCCTCAGGTTCAAGCCCTGAATGGTCTGGTCTCTCTCACACCCCCAGCCTCATCTTCTCTCCTCCAAGAAATTTTTGTTATCCCTCAAAGCCTTCATGGTGGCCTTAACACCCCAGCTCTGTACTCCTTCGTACCCCCTGTGCTCCTGCACCATCCTTCATCCATGCCCTTGCTTGCTCTTGCTTCCCGCCCTGGCTGAAAGGCTTTTTCCCTTTCCCACCCAGAGAACCCTGCTCATCCCCCAAGAACCAGCTCCAATGTCCCCTCCTCCAGGAAGCCTTCCTTGGTGCCCTCAGGGAGGAGGAGGCCTTGACCTCCTCTGGGAGCTCCTAATTGTTTATTTCCCCTCTGGGACTGTCCAGTTCAGGGAGCCTGGGGAGACTCGACGTGAATGACGAGTGAGTGAGTGAAGGGGCACATCCTTTGGGGAGTTCCCTGGCCTCAAGGGAGAAGCCAGGTGGACAGCGAAGAGGGCTAAAGTGAGACGGGGCTGTCAGGAAGGGAAGGGAATTGACTAGCACAGTAAAGGGTGGCTACTTGTGTTTCAGGCAGAGATGAAGCAGGGGAACCAGTGCAGATGGGGGGGCACTGGGCACTGTACATAGTGCTGCAGAAGTGGAGCTTCCCTAAGAGATGATGACCAAGGGGCTGGCTGAGGGTGCAACTCTGGGGCTCCAGGCACTGGGGAGCCACAGTAGGGCTTTGGGCAGGGGAGGAACCAGTTCTGTCTGTGCCCACAGGGATCCAGGTGACAGTCACTAAGCACCAGCAGGATACAGCATTGACTCGCAGGCTAGGACAGATGCAGACCAAACCATGCCCAATGGGGATGAGCGTGACACTGTCAGGGTGGGCTGAGGCTGGGGCAGGAGGGGCCGTAACGACTTGGGGAGACTTAACAGAGTGGCAACAGTGAATTGCAGTGGAGGGCAAGGCTGAGGGCACAGCGTGGGCAAAGGCCTGGCGGCTTGAACAAGAGTGGCAAATGGCTGGCCATGGGCAGGTGCAGGGGGAGACCCCAGCTTTGCACTCCAAGTCTGGCCTCTGCAGTCCTGCCCCTGGAGCTCAGTGTTGTCCCCTTGTTCCACACAGGCCCTCAAGGATCTCAAGACACTGGGTTGCAGAAAGGCAATGAAGAAGTTTGAAAGGCACACGCTCCTGGTGAGTGGGGGGCCTCAGCGTCGCTGAGAAACCTGAAAAAGGAGGGTGCCCGTAGGGCAGTAGCCCTGGAGTCTGAAGGCGGAAATCCTGGACTCCAGGCCTGCCGTGGACCCCCTGCCTCACCCCGGGGCAGAACACGGCTCCCTCTCTGGGCTTGCTTCCCTCATCTGTCACAAAAGGGGGAACTGGATCGCCAAGCTTCAGAGAACCGTACTAAGCTCACGGTCATGTCACGGAACCAAGAGGCTCAGCCTGGGAGGGTCCCCTGTGGGGGTGGGGACAGAGCCGGCAGGTGCAGCCGGCTTGGGTCCTGACCCGGGCGTGCGCCGGTCCTGCAGGAATACCTCCTCGGGGAGGGGAACCTGAGCCAGCCGGCCGTGCGGCTCCTGGGAGACGTGATGTCCAAGGACGGCTTCTTCTATCTCAGCTTCGCCGAGGCCCTAAGGGCCCACAGCTGCCTCAGCGACCGGCTCCGGTGAGGGGCGGGGCGAGCTGGCAGGGGCGGGGCCGATGAGGGCCCCCGCGCTCGAGTAACGGGGTGGGCGGGGCCGTCGGCGTTGGGTGAGGCCAGGCTGATGGGAAGATGAGAAGGGGCGCCCGTGTCTGGCCACACTGGCCTCCTTATCCCAGGTCCTCGGGTGGAACTGGGTAAGAAAGGTTCCCGGAGAAAGGCGTGGCCCAGAGGAGAAGAGGGGCGGTGCCCGGGTCAGACACTTGTCTGCTCCCTGGTCCTCGGGGGACGTCGGGGACTGGCGACGGCCCGCGTAGACGAGTGGGCGGGGTCAGCGAGGAGCCGGCCGGTGACAGGGGGCCGGTAAGGGAGTGGGCGGGACCTGCGAGAAGGGGCGGACAAGAAGGGACCCGGCAGGCGAACACTAGAACCCGGACCCGGGAGTCCGCCGGGATGGGGCCCGCGGGGAGGGGCCGACGAGGAGGGGCAGTGCCCGAGCTCCGGCATCACGCTCCCGCCCCGCCCGCAGGTACAGCCGCATCGTGGGCGGCTGGGACCTGCTGCCGCGCGCGCTGCTGAGCTCGCTGTCCGGGCCGGTGCTGCTGCACGCGCCCGTCGTGGCGATAACGCAGGGGACGCACGATGTGCACGTGCACATCGCCAGCTCGCGCAGGGCCCGGAGTCTGAAGGCCATGACCGCCGACGTGGTGCTGCTGACGGCGAGCGGGCCGGCGCTGCAGCGCATTACCTTCTCGCCGCCGCTGTCGCGCAGGCGGCAGGAGGCGCTGCGCGCTCTGCACTACGTGCCGGCCACCAAGGTGTTCCTGAGCTTCCGCCGGCCCTTCTGGCACGACGAGCACATCGAGGGCGGCCACTCGAGCACCAACCGCCCGTCGCGCGTGATATTCTACCCGCCGCCTGGCGAGGGCGCGCTGCTGCTAGCCTCGTACACGTGGTCGGACGCTGCGGCCTCGTTCGCCGGCCTGAGCCCGGAAGACGCTATGCGCGTGGCGCTCGACGACGTGGCGGCGCTGCACGGGCCCACCGTGTACCGGCTGTGGGACGGCAGCGGCATCGTCAAACGCTGGGCCGAGGACCCGCATAGCCAGGGCGGCTTCGTGGTGCAGCCGCCGCTGCTCTGGCGTGAAGACAAGGAAGAGGGGCCGGACTACGACTGGGCGGTCCCCTACGGCCGCATCTACTTCGCGGGTGAGCACACGGCCTACCCGCACGGCTGGGTGGAGACCGCTGTCAAGTCGGCGCTGCGTGCGGCGGTGTTGATCAACAGCCGAGAGGAGCACATGTGGGTCGGCAGCGACACCGAGGATGGGGTTGTGCGCCTGGCGCCCAGCCGTCCCCGCTGCGAGTTCGAAGAGGGTGATGTCACCCCCTCCACGGCTGCACAAAGGATAACCGCTCAGCACACCACCCACAAGAGCCCCGAGCATTAAAAGTATTTTCAGAAAAAGCCATGTGGTCCTGCCCTCTCTGGGTTCAGTCGCTTTCTCCGTTGTGTGGAGCAAAGCCATTAGCCTTAGCGGTGGAAGCGGCTGCGCCTATTCTGGAGCCCCCAGAAGCTGTTCTTCTCTTCCCTGGGTGGTGGGGCTCCGCTGGGGGCAGGGGGGACAGGACCGACACTGCTTTGCGCCACTGGGAAATGGTAATCACAGTGTCCACTCCGGCCGTCACGAAACAGATGGAGTCCCGATGCCAGTAACAGAAAGCACGACGGACAGTGGGTTAAACACGAGTTTATTTTTTTTCACATAACAAGAAGCTGGTAAGCAGAGTCCCCAGAGCGTCTGAACAGCTCTGCAGGCCCTTCCATCTCGGTTATGTCCGGGATGTGTCCCCGCACAGCTACTGGTGGTGGCCATGCCCCCGCACCCCATCCTCCAAAAGCCCCAGATCCAGGCGGGACACAGAGCCCTACCTCCACAAGCCCACAAGGGGCCTCTTCTTACGTCTCATTGGCTGGATCAGGATCACGTGGTCAGATGTCAGCTCTGCAGCTTGGCCAGAAGGGACCCCGAGCCACCACCCCCTCCCCGTCCGGGTCCATGCCAAGGTGGCAGCCTCCTTCCTCCACCTACACGAGGACAACTGGACACGAGAAGTGCCCGTTTAAGGAAATCAGCTCGTTGGGAGGGCACGGGAGGCACGGCGGGAAGGCCCGCCCTGTCCACACCCTTCCTCCCCAGCCTCTGGGAGCCGGATAAAGTGCCTGTGCTGGGCGGGCCCACCGGCCCGGGGAGTGGGGGGGGGGGGTTAGGACTCTGTGCTTTCCTCCTCCTCCTCCTCCTCTGGCAGGATCTCCAGGCTGCTGTCCGGCTGCGGGGCTGTGTCCTCGGGGGGCGGTGGGGCCGGTGGGGCCCGGGTGGGCGAGAGAGGCAGTGGAGAGGTAGGGGGCGAGGGACTTCGGGGCTCTGCGGGGGGCACCAGACCCAAGACCTCCTGCACGTTGTGGGGCAGCTCCTGGAGGGGTGCGGGGTTGAGGCGAAAAGTCAGCGGTTTTCCCCCCCGAGTTGGAGGGGTTGGGTGGGGAAGGCTGTTGGGAGAGGTCGGGGACTCACCGGGCAGGCGGTCAGCTGCCGGTAGAGGGCCTCAGCCCGCGTCAGCACGTCCTCCACGCTCAGCTTCATGGTCAGCTCGTTGATGTGCTGTGGGAGGGGGTGGGTCAGGCCTGCCTGCCTGCCAGCACTCAACCACCACCGCCCGAGTGCCCACTCTGTGCCTCGTGCTGAGGATACAATGGAGGAAAGACAGACTGGGTGGAGCCCGGGCTGGGGGGTAGGGGATGTCATGCCCTCTCTGGTGGCTCGCCACAGGCAGGATACAACGAAGGGAAAGGACACTGAGCTCCCCCCTATGGCCCTGCCTCGCATTAATGTACTGGGGAAGGGGCAGGTCCCCCCCTCATGTGCTGGCCACACTCTGAGGGCACTGCTGGGAGCCAGGGATGGGATGCAGTAGGAGAAAAACTCCGGGTCTCATGGCCATGGTGCTCACTGCTTAGCCAACCATACTTTCAATAATCCTATTCTGAGTACCTACTACCCCAAGGCACTGTGGCACAGGCATAATGCCAGCCTCTGTGGAGTTCACACCCCAGCTGATGTGTCCGATTATAGAGGACAGGATGGGCAGGGACGGGGGAGGACTGGGAAGGAGCCAGGGCCTCACCTTGAGGATCTCATTGGAGCCAAAGCCAGAAAGCATGAGAGTGTCACGCTCCATATCCAGAATGGCACAGGCCACCAAAAGGTGCAGATTGGGGCCAGGGAGCCCTGTCCACAGCACCTGGGAGAGCCGGAGCGAGGAGTCATGGCCTAGCTTCTGCCGGAAGTCCCACCCAGCTCTGCCCTATCCCCTGCCCACTTCCCACCAACCTCCCAGCCCGGGACAGCTGACTGATTTCTCTTTCCTCTCTGCCCTCCCATCCAAACTGGCAGGCCCACCTCCCATAGCCGAAGGACATCCGGGAAGGGGAATTCCCTCTTGAACCAGATGAGCAGCCACCGGAAGCAGAAGCAGAGAGAGCCAGAGTCCTGGGAGTCTGGAGGAAGACAGTGGTGGGAGGGAGGGGTGCTCAGCAAAGAACAAGCTCAAAATCCATTCCAATCCCATCCTAATTCATAGCGTGCAGGCTGGTCAGACTGAGCTTCTAAGAAGTTATCCTGGCTGTAAGAATCTCTACCAGTCTAGGCAAGTAATGTATGCCCAGCATGAGAAGGCTTCAGAGTTGAGCCAGGAATGCTCTGTGTCAACAGGAACCCTTCCCATCCTGCCTTCCAGATTCCAGATGCAGTGAGCTAATCCCGTGTCCCACCGTCACATAGAAGGGATGCTGGACACTCGGGGAAAAAATAAAATCTCTCAATACCCAATGCTGGTGGAGGCATGAGGAGGTGTGAAAATGGACACTCACGGACTCGGCTAGCAGAAACATAAGCTGGTAAGAATTTCCAGGAAAGCAATGTTGGGAACAAACATTTCAAAAGCTGTAAAAAGATTTACTACCCCAAATACAATCGATGCCACTTCTTGGAATTTAGCCTAAAGAAATTATCCAGATGATATTCAACATGATGAAAAATTGCAAATGACTGCAATGTCCTGCAGATCAGGTTAAATTTATTCTTTACATACTTCAGACAGCCACATCGTCAGCCGGGCGGCTCGTGTCCAAGCACCCCCAGAAGTGGCACGCCCAGGCCCCAGGACCCTCAATCTGCCAAGTACGGGGTTGAGGGGGGCCTGAAGGAGCCAGCTTGTGGGACGGGCAGGGTGCGCAGGCGTGCACTCACAGCTACGCTCGTTGCGGTTTCACTCCAAACCGCAATCCTGCTTTTACGTGTAAATTTTGGGTTCCGGCTTTTGCAGGGATGTTTCCCTTGTCTGGATCAGGACCCAACATCCTGGACACCGTCAGCGGCCCCTTCCAGAGACTCTGTGGCGGGGCTTGTGGCCCCACCCTCCCTCGCCTGCCCGCGGAGACACTCACCCAGGAAGTCGCAGAGCGGCGGGTCCAGCACCCTCAGGAGCAGCAGGAGTTGTCCGAGCTGCCGCTTCATTGTCTCCTGACTCTCCTCGAAGTTCCCGTGCTGCGGGAGGTAGGGCCATGTGAGGAACCAGACCCCCATCCTTTGAGGGGGCCTGTCTCCCACGCCTGCCGTGGGCCTCACCACGAGCTCCATGAAGCCACAGAAACACCAGAAGGCGTCCACTTCGTTCTGAATGACGTAGAGGATCGGGGAGAGAAGGTCACTCATGCCCTGGACGTAGCCTGGGGGTGTGGGGGGACAGGAGGTCAGGGCTTAGCCCAGGCCCCCAGTCACCCCCCAAGGGAAGGCCTGGCCCCCAGCCCCTCCCCAGGCTGGTGTCGCACCAAGGTCAAAGTGGTACATGCAGTAGGTGAGGAGGATGTCGTTCAGCAGGCCCAGCCCTGGGTTCTCAGGACCCTCATAGAACTTGTTGGTCCGATCGGTACGGCTCACGTCTCTCTCTGTGAAGACAGGGCGCAGAATGCGAAAGTGAGAAAGCTGTGGGGGGGGGCCCCTCCCTCCTGGCCACGGGCACCAGCCCCCATTCCTCTCTTCGGCCGACCCCAGGCAGGTGTGAGTCGGTCCAGACACCACCCCGAACACCCTCACATGAGACACTCAGTCTCCCAGCAACTGACAGTTACTAACCCATCCACAGATGGGAAACTGAGGCCCAAGGAGGCAAAATCACTTGCCAAGATCTGATGGCAAATAGATGGCAGATTTGAACCCAAGGAGTCTCGCTCCCTTCCCCTGCTCCCCCTCTCCCCCTGCCCCATCCCTGGCGACTCCCACCCCTGCTCCCTGCCCAACTCCCCACTGCAGGTAACGTCATCCCTACTCCTGGGGAGGCAGGGGCTTCCCGTCCCCTCCCTGCTATTTGCCACGTCTCCACCCCACCCCCCGGCCCTGCAACCTACCGACGAGGCTGCGGTAACCGTGCAGCAGTGAGTTCCTTCGCTCCTGCTCGGGGCTCACGGATTTCCACTGCAGCTTCATTCGGAAGTACTCATCCCTGGGGGTGGGGGTGAGACATGAGGCCACCAAAGCAGGCCACCTACTCATCCTTGCCACAGTCCCCACGCTGCTCCTTTCTGACATCTCTCAAGACCCACAACACTCTTGTGAGCTGGTCTTTAAAGTTTTTTTTTTTTTCTTAAGTGATCTCTACTCCCAACGTGGAGCTTGAACTCAAGACCCGAAGATCAAGAGTCACACGCTCTACTAACTGAGCCAGCCAGGCACCTCCCTGTGGGCTTTTGTTTGAAGTCTGTCATTCCCGCCGGACAGACAGAACGGGGCGGGGACCAGGACACGCAGCAGGGGCACAATGTGTACCAGGAATGAGGAGAAGTGGGCCCCCCGGGGTAAGGAGGCCCACCGCAGTGACGATGGCTGCGACATTATGCTGCTGGAACGAAAACTGACGCCCACAGGAGACGAGGCTGCCTGCTTACTGTGGTCTCCGTGTGGGACCGCGGCTGCCCAGCACGTGGCGGGCTCACGACACATGCCTGGGGAGCGAGCCCATCTGTGCACCTGTGATGTGCCAGGTACCGTGCTGGGACAGGGGACAAGTTTGACTTGGGAGGCCGGAACCGGGCAGCCGGAGCTTCGCTCACTCACGTTTTCTTGCGCACGTGGGCCTTGTGCTCCTCGGCTGAGCCCTCCCAGCTGAGGTACCCCAGGAGGAACTTCCAAGCTTCGCGCCTCAGGCCAGGGCTCAGACCCTGGGGGAGAGAGCGGCCAGCGGCTCAGAGGGGCCTCTGAGGCCCCCCACCCCAGTCCCCCCACCCCACAGCACACACCCGGCACCTTACCCCCGAGAAGATGCGGGCCTTCAGCATGGGGACCTGTTGCAGGCGGCCCTCAGGGCCCACATGGTGTGCCCACTCCTCCTCTGTGACCGGAGGGGCCCG